AAAAATGAAGATAATGTGAAGAGCCTTTGACACACCTAACATACCAACATTCATTTTATGGGGGTGCCATAATGACAAGAGAGAGCAAAAAATGTAAAACTTACTTAAAAAATTAATGACAGAAAACTTCTCTAACTTGATGAAGGAAATAGACATACAAGTCCAGGAAGCACAGAGTGACCCAAACAAGATGAACCCCAAATATTCCCACACCAAGACACATTATAATGAAAATGCCAAAGGTTAAAGAAAAGAATAATCCTAAAAGGAGCAAGAGAAAAGCAGTTATCTATCTACAAGGGAGCTCCCATAAGACTGTTGCCTTTCTCAACAGAATTTTTGTAGGCCAGAAGGGATTAGCAAGAAATATTCAAAGGGATGAACAGCAAGGACCTACGATCAAGATTACTCTACCCAGCAAAACTATCATTTAGTATCAAAGAACAGATAAAGAGCTTCCCAGACAAGAAAAAGCTAAAGGAGTTCATCACCACCAAATTAGTATTACAGGAAAAGTTAAAGAGTCTTCTTAAAAAGAAGAAAGATAAAAAATACAAACAATAAAATAGCAATAAATACATATCTATAGCCAGTTGAATCGAAAATAAAATAAAATAAAATAAAATAAAATAAAAAATAAATAAACAAGCAGAATAGAAACAGACTCATAGAAACAGAGAACATTTTGACAATTTCCAGATGGGAAGGGAGATGGGTGAAGGGATGGGGAAGTGAAAATTAGTTGTTACAGAATAGTCATGGATATGTAAAGTACACTATAGGGAATAGGGAATAGAGTTAATAAGCTACACTAATAAAATAGAAAGATGCAAATTGGCTGTCACTTAGCGACACCCACCAGCTAATCAGGTGTGAGTATGCAAATTAACCCAAAAAAATGGCGGGTTAATTTCCATACACAGGCAAGGAGAGGCCGGGGGTGGGGTGGCCACTTGCGCGCACACTGGCACCAAGCGGCCTGGGCCAAGCCACTCTGAGCCTGTAGGCCCAAGTGTAGGTCCAGAGAGTACAGGGTCCCGGAACACCCCTGGCCACTCCGGCCTACGCGTGCAGGCACTGAGCTGCCGGGAGTGGGGCGGGAACGTCCCCCACAATGAGCAAACAGACAGCAGGGACCTGCTTGCTCCTGGCTATGACAGCAAGGGGCAAGCAGTCCCCTGCAGGGCCCCCACAGAGAGCAGATGCCAGGGCCCTCCTTGCCCCTGTGGCAGCCAGCCAGAGAGCAGGCAGCAGGGCCCTGCTTGCCCCTGGCCCCAGCAACAAAGGGCAAGCAAGCCCCCAGAGAGAGCAGACACCAGGGCCTGCAGTGGCATCAAGTAGGCAGGTCCGCAGAGAGCAGAGAACCACGGGGAGCAGGCCTAAGCCATCAGTAGGACATGCCCTGAGGGCTCCCAGATTGGAGAGGGTGCAGATCAGGCTGAGGGATCCACCCCCGCCCTGTGCACGAATTTTGTGCACCAGGCCCCTAGTATTCTAATAACTGTGTATAGTGTCAGACGGGTGCAAGATGCATTGGGATGATCACTTATTAAGTTATATAATCTCTAATCACTAGGATGTACACCTGAAACTAATATAATAATTTGTCAGCTATAATTGAAAAAAATGATAGAACTAAAAAAATACAGACAGTCCTCAGGTTATGTTGGACTCAACATATGTCATTTTGTGGTTACATCGCCATCTCCCATTTGTTTATAAAAATAAAATGTTCTGTCATTTCGACATATGTGCATATGTGCTTTATGTTTTTTATTATTTATTTACCACAAATAAAGGTCAGGAATTGTTATCTTTCTTTTAATTTTTTTTTTACTGTTTCACTTCATTAGTGCTGTGTATGTGCTCCATGTGAGTGATGTAGGTGCTTATGTAGGTGGGTTCTGACTTACAGTGAAAATCGCATTATGTCGTGCTGTAGGAACGGATCTCTGATGTAACCTGAGGACCTACTGTTAAAAAAAAATGACAGCTGTTTACCTGGTTGCTTATCATTTCTTCCTTCTTTAATAACAAAATATTAATATTGGAGGTAATAATTTTCTTAGGTTAAAAGGAGAATGAGGAGGAACTGGCAGAACATGAGAAGTTATATTTCTCAGCTTCTCATTCAAATGGAGGTGGCCAAGGAAAATCACCTTAAAAGAAATCGACTCAACTAAGATTGTTTTTGTTTTTTTACTATTGTCCTTGTTCTTTTCTTCTTTTTGAGAACTGCAGTGTTGGACACAAAGGCCAAGATGATTGTAAAACCCATATCTTAAGCCATTAAACAAATAATAGCAGTCGCCCATATATAAAAATATTTGTCCTTGAAAAAATAATCATTATATGTTTACTCATGTAATCAGGTCTCTATTATTTGTATCTTAGCTTGATTTCTAACAAATACAAATGAATTCAGGGTATTTTGCCTGAGCAATTTAAATGATGTCATTGTAATTTACTGAGAAGAGGAAGACAGTGGGAAGAACAGATTTAGAGGGAAAAGTAGGAGAAGTTTTCTCATGCATTATGTTTGAGATGTCTATTAGGTATCTAAGTGAAGGTTTTCTCTAGATAACTGTACAGATGAGCCAGATATTATTGATGAAGATTAGAGAGTGATTATGGCAACCATACAGATATTTTTAAGCAATTTCTAAAGGGCAGGACAAACCCAGTGATTTCTAAATCTTACTGATTCTTTTAAAACAAAAAATACCTTAAAATTTTTCCTTTTATGTACAATTGGGTAAATATTACTTCACAGCTAGTTTATAAAAGATGGATAAATATCCTTTCTGTCTTTGTTCCTTTCATCACAATGGCATCACAATAAAAATTTACTAAATTTAATAGAATTTTTTGTTAACATCTTTAAATCTTTATAATATTTTAGGTGTCAATTTATGTAAATCAATTTCCACAGAAACTACTTTTAGTATAATAACTTAAATACTAATTAAATCGCTAATTCTATTATTTTAATTTTTGTGATATTATCCATTTGTACCAAAATAATCATATATATTTTTACACTTTAAAATATGCAAATATTTTTATGAACAAAAATATAAATCATTCCATCAAAGCATAAAGAAATTATTCCTGTATTTATGACTACTGATTAACATAAATAGCTAATAGATACCTACCAACCTGAGGAAAATAGTAATAAAAGCAGCTATGAAAATATATAACCTGTTGAAGTCCATCCAACCTAAGCAGCAATATTAGTATTGCTGATGTAGCATTGCTACAGAAGTATGGGCGATTATAATTCCAAAGACTCTTTCTCTATAAAAACCTTCCACTGCACAAGCAGAATGTCAAAATTTCCATTCACATTTTAACACTATAGCTATATGTTTCTTTGCTCTCACTGCAATTTACTTAGAGAAAAATTAGGACCATAAAGTTGCACATTTATCATCTTATAGTGCTCTTCCCATTTTTGATTCTGCATTTATGAGCTTGCATTCAGCCAGGAGTTTATTATTATCCATCTATAAATAGTCAACAAAATAGTAAATTATGCATTTAAAAGCCCTGCTGGCTGACATTTTTAAAGTTCACTGGATTGTTTATTTATTTATTTATGTATGTATGTATGTATGTATGTATGTATTTACTAGAGGCCCAATGCATAAAATTCATGCAAGGGGCTCGGCCCTCACAGCTGCGGCACACGGCTCTGACTTCATCCAGAAGGTCATTCAGCTGCCCAGTCTAATTAGCATAATACACTTTTATTATTATAGATTTATTTATTTATTTATTTATTTATTTATTTATTGTAGTAGAATGTGCTGCAAGTACCCAGGTTCTGAAATCTGATTCCCATTTAGATGTCATTGAGAGGTCAGGGCAATTAGTTTACATTAATATTTCATGGCCTAAGTGTTCCCTACTTTGATACTGCCATCTTGTAATAATTTTTCTTACACCTAAGGACCAACTTGTAATCATATAGGTATAACCTGATAGGTGCATTAAGCTTTATTATACCTCACTCTGCCTTCACCAAAATAATTTTAAGTGATGTATTCATTAATTTTCAACTGTTTTCTTTTTACTCTGTATATAGAATGGAGGATAGTGAAAGGGCGAGGACTACGCCCTCCATCTTACCCTGGGTCCTCCATTTTTGGGCAGCCATGTGCTCGGCAAGGCTTCTTCCAGGAAGCCCAAGCCTCTGCTAGCCACACCCAGGATTTCTTTAAACTAACCAATGACAATCAAGGGAAGTGCGCGCCATAGGTATGAACACATCCTGTGTAACGAGATACCGACTTGTGCCTGGCCAATCAGCAGGGCCCACAGTCCTCTCTCCTCCCCTTACTATAAAACCTCTCTCCCCACAGGACTGGCTCTCTCTCTGCCATTTGCTGCTGTGTCAGTAAGGAGGGTAGGGGAGCCAAGCCCGGGTTTGAATAAAAGACTATGCTTTTTCATCGGACTCAGCTGGCTCCCTGGTGTGGTCTCTTGGGGATCCTGAAATCTGAGCATAACATTTGGGGGCTCGCCCGGGATTCCCAAGACCATCGAGGGACCCCCGATCCGGAGAGTCTGACCGACCGCGGTAGGTGTCTGTGTCGTTGTGTGTTCTGTTCTGTGCGAGCTCGTTTCTGAAATCTGTAATTGCCCGAAACGGTCTAGGTGGACGCACCGGGGGATCACGGGTGGGAGGAGTAGGGGGACGCCCCGATCCTCCATCTGGAGGGGCGTAGTTTTGCTTCCACGGAGTCAGAAGGTCTGTAGAAACCCCTCAATCTGAGACGAGGCGGGTCGCTCCCGCTGGTTGGCGCCCAGCCATCGTCTAGCTTTCAGTTTTTGCTTCCATGGAGTTGGAAGATTGTTTTGGTTTTGCTTCCATGGAGTTGGAAGACTATACTTTTCGGCCCTTTAGCTGTATGTGTTTGTGTTTGTTTTGTTTTATTCTGTGGACTTACTGGACGGACATTATGGGACAGACTGAAACTACTCCTTTAAGCATTATGGTCGATCATTTTAAAGAGGTAAAGGGAAGAGCCAGCAGCCTCAGTGTGGTGGTCTGGAAAGGCCAGTGGCAGACTTTTTGTTCCAGCAAGTGGCCGACTTTTAACCTTTGACCTCCCCACCATCCGCTGGGTCAGGGACGTCGTCTCCCAACTCAGGGGTGGACATCCTGATCAACTCTCTTACATTGTTACCTGGCAGGACCTCATGGAAGACCCACCATCTTGGCTTAGGCCCTTCCTACCTTCACGCCCTCCTGGGCCACAGCCCATTCTTGCTTTGCAGGAAACAGAAAATGAGTAGAAAAAGAAGAATCTCACCCAGCCATCAGCTCCCCCCTACCCTGTCCTGCAGGGGGGGACTGAAGAAGACCTAATCTTTCCTCCCCCATATATCCCACAGGGGGGCGATCCTCCTACACCAGGAGTTCCGGGAGTGGCTGGGGGCGGAGTTCCGGAAGTGGCTGGGGGCGGAGTTCCGGGAGTGGCCGGGGGCGGAGTTCCGGGAGTGGCCGTGGTTCCTGTAGGAGGCCTGCCTCTCACCCAGCAGAGAGCTCAGCAGGAGCTGTCTGTCGCAGCACCCGACTCCACTATCAAGACCCTGCCTTTACGGGCCCTGGACCCCCGGATGAGGACGGCAACCAGCCCCATCACTATTAGCCTTTCGCAACCAGTGACCTCCATAACTGGAAGGCACAAAACCCTAAGTTCTCTGAGAAGCTGGGGGGACTTATTGACTTGCTAGATTCTGTCCTTTTCACCCACCAGCCCACGTGGGACGACTGCCAGCAGCTTTTACAGGTCCTGTTCACAACTGAGGAGAGGGAAAGAATCCTCAATGAGGCCCGGAAAGTGGTTCCAGGCGTGGATGGAAACCCAACCACCAACCAGGCCCAGATAGATGTCTCTTCCCTTAACTAGGCCTGAATGGGATTTCAACACCGCAGAAGGTAAGAGGAGGCTTTTGGTCTACCGCCAGACTCTAATGGGGGGTCTTCGAATGGCTGCTAGAAAGCCAACTAATTTGACCAAGGTAGGGAACGTACAGCAGGAAAGAGATGAGTCTCCAGCTGCCTTTCTAGAGCGGATCATGGAGGCATATCGCACCTATACCCCCATGGATCCAGAAGCCCCTGAGAATAAGGCAGCTGTAATCATGAGTTTTATCAACCAGTCAGCCACGGACATTAGAAAGAAACTGCAGAGAATATATAGGTTAGGAGAAAAGAGTTTTTGGGACTTGCTGAAAGTGGCTGAGAAGGTGTATAATAACCGAGAGCCCCCTGAGGATAGACAAGCCCGTGCCATGGTGGCTGCCAGTGACAAGCAGACCCGAAACCTGGCCAAGATTCTGCTAGCCACCACCACGGAGTCCCCTGAGGAGCGGACCCGCCACCTTCGCCAGCTTGCCAATGGCCAAGAAAGAGGTAAGGGGACTGCCCGGGGCGGGAAAAAGAAGCTGGAACGGAACCAGTGTGTTTACTGCAAAGAGATAGGGCACTGGGTCCGAGAATGCCCAAAGAAGGCCGGTAAAAAGGAAAACAAGACAGACTGGTTGGAGGTCTTGGAGCTGGAAGGACTGAGTGATTAGGGGAGTCGGGGTTCGGGCCCCCTCCCCGAGCCCAGGGTAACTCTTATAGTGGAGGGGACCCCTGTTGACTTCCTTGTCGACACTGGAGCACAACATTCGGTCCTCCGCACACCTCAGGGGAAGCTAGCCAATAAAAAGTCCTGGGTGCAAGGGGCAACTGGCATGAGCCAATATTCATGGACTACCCTAAGAACAGTAGATCTAGGAATGGGCCGGGTATCCCATTCCTTCATGGTAATACCAGAATGCCCCTACCACCTATTAAGACGGGACTTGCTAACCAAGATTGGAGCCCAAATAACTTTCAGACAAGGGGGGCCTCAGGTCACCGATGGCAAAGGCCACCCTATCCAGGTTCTGACTCTGAGACTGGAGGATGAATATTGCCTCCACCAGGGGGCGCCCTCAGTAGAGAACAATATGGACGGGTGGCTGCAAGAATTCCCCACAGCCTGGGCAGAGATGGGGGGAGTAGGACTGGCCGCTCACAGGGCCCCAACCCTGGTAGAGCTAAAACCAGGGAAGGCCCGATAAGAGTCAAACAGTACCCTATGTCCCAGGAGGCTCAGAAGGGAATCCAGCCTCACATCCGGAGACTGCGAAGCCTAGGGGTACTGGTTCCGTACCAATCTGCCTGGAACACCCCCCTCCTGCCAGTAAGAAAGCCCCACACTAATGACTATCAACCAGTCCAGGACCTCCGGGAAGTAAATAAAAGAGTCCTGGATATACACCCAACCGTTCCTAACCCATACACTCTCCTAAGCTCTCTGGCACCCTCTAGAGTCTGGTACACTGTATTAGACTTGAAGGATGCCTTTTTCAGCCTGCCGCTAGTGCCTCAAAGCCAACCCCTATTTGCCTTCGAATGGCACTACCCATAGGAAGGCTACAAGGGACAATTAACCTGGACGCGATTGCCCCAAGGGTTCAAGAATTCGCCCACCATCTTCGACGAGGAGCTGCATGAAGACCTCGGTGAGTACAGGAGAGAGCACCCCAGTCTCACCCTCCTTCAGTACGTAGATGACATCCTGATTGCTGCCAATACCGCCAAAGATTGTGAGCAAGGGACCAAAGATCTGCTGGCCACCCTAGGAACCTTAGGGTACCGGGCCTCTCCGAAGAAGGCTCAGATATGCCAAGAGATGGTGAGTTACCTGGGATACATACTGGTTGTCAGACGCTAGGAAAGAGACAGTCTTGAAAATCCCTACTCCCACCTCCTGGAGGGAGGTGAGGGAATTCCTAGGATCGGCTGGCTATTGCCGCCTCTGGATACCAAGTTTTGCTGAGATCGCCAGGCCCCTATATGAAGCCACCAAGGAGGGGAAGGCCTTTGAATGGACTGAGACAGAAGAAATTGCCTTTAATCAGATAAAGAAAGCTCTTTTGGCTGCTCCAGCCCTGGGCCTACCAGACATTACGAAACCCTTTCGCCTCTTTGTAGACGAGCGCAAAGGAGTAGCAAAAGGGGTTTTAACCCAGGCTTTAGGCCCCTGGAGTCGCCCGGTAGCATATTTGTCTAAAAAGCTGGATCCCGTAGCCACCGGCTGGCCACCATGCCTAAGAATCATTGCGGCAACCACGCTCTTAGTTAAGGATGCCGACAAACTGACCCTGGGACAGGAGATCTGGATCACGACCCCGCATGCCATTGAGGGGGTCCTAAAACAGCCTCCTGATAGGTGTATGAGCAATGCTCGCATGACCCACTATCAAAGCTTGCTGATCAACCCCCCTAGAGTACGGTTCCATCCCAGTGGGGCCCTCAACCCTGCTACCTGACCCCGACCTAGATGCCCGACTACATGACTGTGCGGGAATCCTAGAGCAGGTACATGGACTTCGGAAGGACTTGACCAATCGTCCCCTCCCTGATGCAGAGGCCACCTGGTTCATGGATGGAAGCAGCTTCGTGCGGAACGGGTGCAGGTACGCGGGTGCGGCGGTGGTCACCGACACGAACACCGTGTGCGCGGAGGCTCTGCCCCCTGGGACGTCAGCTCAGCGAGCAGAACTCATTGCACTCACCAAGGCACTGACACTGGGGGCTGGGAAACGGCTTAACGTTTACACAGACAGCCGTTATGCATTTGCTACAGCTCATGTTCACGGGGCGATCTACCAGGAGAGAGGGCTATTGACAGCAGAGGGACGGACAATAAAAAATAAGCAAGAAATCCTCGACCTGCTCGCGGCCTTATGGCTTCCTTCCAAGTTAGCCATAATCCACTGCCAGGGGCACCAGAAAGCCAATGACCCGGTAGCAAGAGGTAACCAAAAGGCTGACCAGACTGCAAAGGCAGTACCCCTTACCTCGGTCCCTACCATGGCCTTACAACTACCAGACCCAGAGGACCCAGTCTTACCAGACCAGCCCAAGTACTCCCAGGAAGAGTTGCAAGGTATCAGAAAGCTCCCCAGAGCCCAGGAAATAAAGGGATGGTGGCATACACCAGAAGGGGAACTTATACTGCCAGACCGGCTCGGGGACACGGTATTAGTACATATGCACCGATCCACTCACCTGGGAACCCGGAAAATGAAGAACTTATTCCGACATGCCGGGATCAAGATTCACCAGCAGAATACCAAGATAGATCAGGTTGTGTCTGCCTGCAAGACCTGTCAACTTACGAACGCAGGGGTCGGATCAAATGAAAAAGGGATCAGGCTCAGAGGCACCAAACCAGGAGCACAATGGGAGGTTGACTTCACTGAAATTAAACCAGGGAAGTATGGTTATAAATATCTTTTAGTATTTATAGACACCTTCTCTGGCTGGGTAGAGGCATACCCAACCAAGCATGTAACAGCTCAGATGGTGGCCAAGAAGCTGCTGGAAGACATCTTACCCAGGTATGGTTTTCCTGCTATGATAGGGTCCGACAACAGACCAGCCTTTATTTCACAGGTAATGCAGGTAGTAACCAGGGCTATTGGGGCAAATTGGAAATTACATTGTGCTTATAGGCCCCAGAGTTCAGGTCAGGTAGAAAGGATGAACAGAACTCTAAAAGAGACCCTTACCAAATTAACCATGAAGACTGGTGGGGACTGGGTGGCTCTTCTACCGTATGCCCTTTACCGGGTAAGGAACTCCCCTTACACCCTGGGCTTTACTCCCTATGAAATCATGTTTGGCAGGCCACCCCCTATCATTCCTAACCTTTAATCTGACTTTCTTGCTGAATTTGAAAATCAAGAACTATCTCTTTCCTTGAGAGGGCTCCAGAGGTTGCACAAGGACATTTGGCCCCGCCTCTGCGCCATCTACGAGACCGGCCCAACCCCAACTCCTCATCAGCACAGACCAGGAGATTGGGTCTACATCAGAAGGCACCGCCGGGAGACCCTGGAGCCACGTTGGAAGGGTCCCTACACCATGGTGCTGACGACCCCCACCGCTCTCAAGGTAGACGGCGTAGCGACCTGGGTCCATCACACTCACGTCTGGTCAGCGGACCCATCCATGATCCGGGAAGACTTCGTCACCAAATGGAGCGTCGATCGAGATCAGCGCAACCTGCTCAAGCTCAAGCTACGGCGTGCTCGACCTGCCTGATGCTGGTAACCTTGCTTGCGATCACTCTGCTACCGGGAGCCCCCACAATACTGTATAATAGACTTAGATAATGTCTGCATCTTCATGAACATGGCTCCAAAGAGACAAGGACAATTTATAGGAAGGTCAAGAATAGACTTTAGTAGCAGAAGATATGGCTGCCTGAAGCGGCCATGATGCCAATATTATGTTTCATTGTATTGATATGTTATATTGACCTTTGATTCTCTTGCAGGTTTGAATGTATGTTGGCTGTCCTGGAAGGGAACTGTGTGGGGTGAACCCCAAGAGTAGAGGGTGTCTGGCTGCCAAGAGGGCAGGTGCCCAACTGGGCAGGGAAGGGTGCCCATCAGGTTTTGGTCTCTGTTGAGAGACAGTTGATGGTTGGCAGCCTGTATACTATCTTGCAGGCCTGCGTGACCATGCCCATGTTAGGGGTAGTACAAACCTCAACTGTAGAAAGCTGGGAAAGGCCTGTTTAGAATAGAAGGTCTGAGGCATGGTTATGCATAGAAAGAAGGTTTTATGCCAACAGTTACTGTTTTGTTATAAATCCATGAAAAGGAATTGGCAAGGAAAGTCGGAAAATCTTAGAGTAGATCAGTATGTTTTTCTCCTTATGTAATTCCTCCGAAATCTGACAATGCTAAATAAGTCATGGCAACACATTTCTTTGCATATATTCAATAAGACTGGTTCCTAATAGTGGTTTTATTAATGGAAAACTTTGACTGGAGTATCATGTTTTAAAGAGCCCTGTCTGAGCTCTAAAGACTTAAAGCCAGTAAGAATGCCACGGAGAAAGCCTGGTATCCTGCTTGGGAGCCCTGAAGATGGCTGGCGCTGGAGCATCAGGCCCATGCCCTACCATCACTGGCAGTTGGTAAGAGTAGAAGGGGAGCAATAAGGATGCCTCTGCATCCCTGCAGAACCCCCACACACTCTGGACCGCAACGAGTAGGAGGGCTACTGAGATGGGCCTTAAAGCCTAGAGCGTGGGCTCAGGTGGAGTTGCTACAGGTGAGGGATTCACCTAACTCAGCGGATACTGCAGGCAGGCCTGATGGCGGCTGGATGGCTTGGCTTCCTGGCCCTACGGGGCACATTAAGATTCAACCATGAGATTCCAGCAAAGGTAGTCAGTTACCATTCTTGTTGTGTTTATGCAAACATCAGGCCAAATTAAATACAGTAGATAAATTAATCTTGATTTGGCTTTTTGATAGCCATGGAGAAATTTTAAGAAGAAAGACCCTATTTCAATAGAAGTTGTTAAAGCTAAAATGGTTTCTTTCCCTTCCACCAGACCATTTGTTAAGCGTATAGGGATAGTTCAGTTGATAGTTCTGTGTGCCCAGTATGGGCCTCTAGCAACGGTGAAATAGATATGCAGTCCGTCTCATGATTGAGCCGGAAGTTCCAAGACAAAGGGGGGAATGAAAGGGCGAGGACTACACCCTCCATCTTACCCTGGGTTCTCCATTTTTGGGCAGCCATGTGCTCGGCAAGGCTTCTTCCAGGAAGCCCAAGCCTCTGCTAGCCACACCCAGGATTTCTTTAAACTAATCAATGACAATCAAGGGAAGTGGGCGCCATAGATATGACCACATCCTGTGTAATGAGATACCAACTTGCGCCTGGCCAATCGGCAGGGCCCACAGTCCTCTCTCCTCCCCTTACTATAATACCTCTCTCCCCACAGGGCTGGCTCTCTCTCTGCCACTTGCTGCTGTGTCAGTAGGGAGGGTAGGGGAGCCAAGCCCGGGTTTGAATAAAAGACTCTCTGCTTTTTCATCGGACTTGGCTGGCTCCCTGGTGTGATCTCTTAGGGATCCTGAAATCTGGGCATAACAGATAGCATTAGGCATATGACAACTTGCTATTAGGCCAAAAATTAATGATATGTTTCCCAATAATTATAAAACACTTTCAAAATACTGGAAATTGATAAATATGCTTTTTACTTTTATGAAAATCTAGAATATTATACTTTAAAGTGCTATTTTTATAAATGCTTCATTAGCTTTCTCTCTGTTCTCAGATAAAAAAACTAAAAAAAAAACTAATCTTTTTTTTCCTTGTCAATTATGAGAAATCTTTTGAACTCACCACTGAAAGAAAGCATTAAGAGTTTGTACATGGTAGTGATATCAAAACATTTTATTTTACTTGTGATAGCTTGTCATGGCATAATCAAGACTAGGAAGAAAAAGGAACAAAATGAAACAGGGTCAGCCAATAGTTATGCTTTCTGACTATGAATAAGACTAATTGCATCTTTGGATTTGTTTTTGAGTTCTTTCTTTAGAATAAAAGTTTGAAAACATTATGTAGGAGCACTTCCCATTTCTTCTATTTACTTTTTTTAACTCAATAGAGCATTTAATGAAGTAATACTTTAGCAAATTTTAAAAACACTTTTTTTGTTAAAGTTAAGAGGAGTTTTTATTGGCTCATCTGTTTGCTTCATTTTGCTTTGGTGAAGAAACAAACTTAATTTTTTTATTTAATAGCTTTGCATTTTATAGGTCGTCTAAGATATTAGTTAGGAACACAATTTTCAAAGCAACATAAATGTTTATGTTGAAGGCTCTCTGCCTAATATATGGTGACAGAAGAAAATTTGACTTTAGGTGGTGGGCACATGGTTCAGTGTACAGATCTTGTGTCCTGGAGATCTATACCTGAAAATGAGGAGGAAACTGGTCTTGCAAGGCATCTCAAGCCATAGAAACTGTGAACAATGAACTGCCCTAGGAGGGGGGGAAGGTCGTTATCGCTGGCCCCAGGACAGATCATCAACACCTGGGGGCCTTCCTCCAGGGCCACGAAGGGGGCAGGGGCATATCTGCAAGACAAAGACCACAGCAGGATATATATATATATATATATATATATATATATATATATATATAGACAGGCTCTCTGCATGTTTCCTCACTCCGATTTGGAAATTACTCCCCGAGTCCACTAGTGTTAATAAACGGGGTCCCACCCTTTCTCTAGGAAGCGTGCTTGGTATTTCTTTGCTCTTCTGTAACAAAACCTGTATGATCCTGTTGACCAATGTCACCCCAATAAATTTAATTTAAAAAAAGAAGGCTCCCTGATCTTCTACTCTTAGGCTTTTGAAACACATAGACCTGACAAAGTGTATTTTCTCTATACCAAACTGCACTTACACTCTCCTGAACTCTTTTTTCAATTAAGCCTCAACTTTTGGACTTCCATGTTTATCTTTGCATTATCTAATTTTAGCAAAAATTCTGCTAATTCAGTTTAGTCAGACTACCCCATACTCCCTATTTGATAACCATTAACATTTAATCCGGTTCCTCGTCTTCCTCCAATCTCTAGGTCAGTGATGGCGAACCTTTTGAGCTCGGTGTGTCAGCATTTTGAAAAACCCTAACCTAACTCTGGTGCCGTGTCACATATAGAACTTTTTTGATATTTGCAACCATAGTAAAACAAAGATTTATATTTTTGATATTTATTTTATATATTTAAATGTCATTTAACAAAGAAAAATCAACCAAAAAAAATGAGTTCGCGTGTCACCTCTGACACGTGTGTCATAGGTTCGCCATCATTGCTCTAGGTGATGTCTGATCACCCTGGCCTGCCTTTAGCAAGAGTCCTGTTAGGTTGTTTTAACCAGATTCTCCCATTAACTCTGATGCTTTCTGTTAGTAATTTTTCATCCACCAACTCATACCCTGCTCCTTACCTATAAAATTCCACTTACCCATGCTGTGCCCCCCACTGGGGATCAACCCCCCAACCGAGGCATGTGCCCTGGCTGGAAATCAAACCTTAACTACGTGGTTCATAGGTCGATGCTCAACCACAGAGCCACACCAGCTGGGCCCATGCTGTATTTGGAATTAAGCCTGGTGTTATTTTTATTTTCTGTCACAATAGTCATGAGTAATATATATTTTTACCACTTTTCTGTCCAACTCTGCTTTATTTTTGACACAACTCTACCATTATGTTCATATATTTAATCTCCAAATGGTATTACTTACCTCACCCTTTCATTGAGAAAATGCTTGGAACTACCCATCTACCCACCTCAATCCACATCCATACAATATTACTGGACAGGGACCAGGTCTGTAACAGGTCTACCTCAGGCTGAGCCTGTAGTTGTTGTAATGTACCCCGCGAATCACAGAAGGACGCCTCAAGAAGTCAAATTAAAGTGTCATGTTTATTGCAATCCGGGACTATGAGGGGTCATTGCCAAATCTCATAGTAGCCATTTGGTCACAGTAACAGGATTATATAGGCATATTGATTACATCTCAGGGTTTGGAATGAAGCACCTGGCTCGCAAAAAAAGCAGATTACAGAAGCAGAATTAAGCATGTTAATTACAGTTTCGGGTCTCGGGGTCACTGAA